CTCAGGGCTCAGTTAAAAAAACCCTCCTCGCTTCTTTCCCCGGTTAAAAAGCCTTCAGGGCTCCATTTCCTGTTTGGAAGGGAAAAATAATAATAATAATAAAAAATAAAAAAAATAAAAAAACCCAAGTGGGTCTAGGACTCATTTGAGACACTGCCCAGGCTGGGACTGGGGATAGGCTCCGAGGAGCCTTAACTCCAGAGCTGCCAGAGGGCACATGGCAAGGCGTGAATGCGGGCTTCCCACCAGTGTCCCTCCCACGGAGAGGGAGCAGATGAGTGAGATCGGGCATATACCACACACACACATACACCACAGATTTTTGAATGACGGGGGAAAAAAAAGAAGCAAGGAGAAGGACCTACAGGTCTGAAGCAACAGCTGGTAGAGAGGGCACGACACAGTTGCCCAGTGTTGATTCACTGCCATCACTTCGTGTCCATCGATCGCGTCGTGTGCCTCCGGGGGTCCTTTCATTGCAGAAGTCCTGAAGACCTGACTGGGCCTAATTTTTGGCTAATAATAATAACAACGGCAATAACATCAATATTCATATTAATGATAATGACGATCATGATGATTGTAATAAAAATTATGCTAACTATGATGATAGAAATGATAATAGTGACAATGATAATGATAACAAAAATTATTATAATTATGATAATAATATTGATAAGGATCATAACAATGATAGTGATAATGATAATGATGATAATAATGATGATAATGATAACAACGATGATAAAGACGACAATAATAATGATGACAGTGATGGCAATGGTGATAATAATGATAATGATAACATGTTTATAATAATGATAATACTGATAATAAAAATGATAGTAATAATGATGATGATGATGATAACGATGATGATGATGATAACGATGATGATAATGATGATAGTGATGACACTGATGATAATAGTGATAATGATAATGAAAATAACAATATGATTATGATAATATTGATAATGGTAATAACAATGATAGTAATAACGATGATAAAGATGATGACAATAGTGATAATGATGATAATAATGATAAAAATTATAATAATGATAATATTGATAGTGATAATGATAATAGCATTGATAGTAATAATGATAACACTGATAGTAGTGATGCTAATGATAATGATAACAATAATGATAATAATTACAATAATAATGATAATGATGATAAGAATCGTGATAATGATAACGATAACAAAAAGTATTATAATAATGATAATATGGATAATGATCATAACAATAATAATGATGATAATAGAAATGATGATAATGATGATAATGATGATGACAATAATAATAATAATATCAGTGCAATGTAATTTGCCCTGTCTCTCTCCCCAACACTGTATGTGCTATGGCAAGGATGGGTTGTGTAGCTTTATAGCTCTACAATACGAATAGTTAACTTGGATACCTCCTCCCAGTACCACCCGTCCAGTTTCCTGCTTGAGATGAGCAGGGCTGGGAATTGAGGACAGAAAGGGACCAATCAGGATCCCTGGTCCCTTGCACTGAACAAGGGACTCAGGAGGAAAGGAGGGATGCTCGCCCCTGCCACTGGGGAACTGGAGACTCCGCCGAGGGTGCAGGCTGCAAAGGGCTCAAAGGCTGCAGGTCCCTCTGGAGCCGGCGGGGGAGATCCGGGCTCCCCTGCGGTAGTTACAAAGCCCCGTGCCTAACTTCTCCCCTCGGCTTCATGGGAAGAAATAGGCTTTTTGCGCATCCTGATGTGGATCTCTGAATGAGACAAGAGAGGGAAAACGCTGAGCAGACCCCTGTGCTTGCAGCAGGCAGAGTTAGTCAGCCCCATCCTGCCTCTCTTCAGCTCCCTTTTTTAATGTCTTCTCTTTTTTACATGCCCCGCGACTCTGGGACCCTTCACTTCTGAAGGAGCCAGAAAACCTTATGATGTCCTAATGCAAAAGAAAAGAAAAGAAAAGGAAAGAAAAGAAAAGAAAAGAAAGCACCTTGGCCCAAAGATGGTTTATATTAATTTAAGTATTGGTTCCTGGATAATGTCAGGCCCCTTTCTCAATGAAATGTCCTGAGTGGGCTGTCACACCTGCTAAATATAATCCTCTCTTTCTTTTGATATTCTGTAAAGGGCCTTTCAAGGTTCACATCCTCCAGTCTGCAGATTTAATTGCCTCATCTAGGTTTTTAAAAAGCCTTGTAAATTTCTGACTTTTTTTTTTTTGGCCTCTTTCAAAGCTGAAAGGGAGCCTGAGTGAGGATGTGAGGGCTGCAACTCAAAACAATAGCTAGCGCTTGCTATTTCATGTAACACTGAGGCTGTTAGGAGTAATAAAAGTTCTTGCTTAGTTGTCCTATGTGTTCTGTTCTTTGGGCAGACACGTCTTGAGCTGGTTTTTATGAGTTAAATATGAAAATAGTAGCCTATTTCACTAAGGTAAATGCACACCAGGGAGGAAGTCACAGATTCTGTTTTATAGGAAGTAATGGAGTGAGATTACCCACACTAATATACTTAAATCTTTGGAGCACATAAATCTAGCAGGAAGAGGACCCAAAATGAATCTCCCATTGAAACAAAAAGGAGAGCAATATATTAAGGTAGCCGAAGATCTACCAGTCCCTGCATATCAATGGCTGCAAATCTGTGCAATGCAAAGCTACGGGGATTCATTCTGTAGGGTAGCAGAAGGCAAAGAGGGGAATTATGTTTTCTTATGAAGAATAGGTGGGTTCCAGGGACGGCTAAGCAATGTTGTGGCCCATTTTGCTTTACTGGGTCTAGAACTCCTGCACCATAGTTGGACTTGGGTTAGTTCTTTTGTGTGTACAGCAGGTCCAATAATGGTTTGCTCTGTAATGTGGCACAGAGTGTAATTCCCATCAGGTTGCCAAATGCCCAGAATCAGAGGCTATTAAACACATTGTACAGCTATCACTGAGCTCTCCTTATACAAAAAGGATTTGGGAACCTCCATTTGTACAACAGCACCAACAACCTGGGATCTGCCTGTGCGTAGCCTTCATCAAGGGCTTCATTCTGTCACAAGGATTTCTTCATCCTGTCATGAGGATGTCTTCATTCTGTCACAAGGATTTCATAAGGAGAAACAATATTGAAATTTCTAATTTTGAAAAATAAACTGTAATTATAGAGATCTTCTAGGATTCTTTCAGGAGGAAAGGATGCAATACTGGCACAGCTGTCAATTCCTTTTAAGCCCAGTTGATTTTAATTGTTCCTTGTACATGTCACTTTCAGTGTTGATGGAAGAATATGTGGTCCAGTCACTTGGGACCTTATTTTCAAAAGTATAGGCATCCACAACTTATATATCATACTCAGAAATGTCACCAAGTCTTTCCCTAATCACGTAAATGGAAATGGTCACTTCAGTAGTTACTACCCTAATATGAAGACTGGTTGAATTATTAAAAAAAAGGGGGGGGGGTGAAATTTTTATTCACATGTTCCAAACTGCTTGTCATTATATTTTATATTGTATAATATCCCTTGTATTTTGCCCTTAGCAAAGTCTTGAAAGAATAAAAAAAAAAACAAGCAATTATAGCTCATTAACATTTTGTGTGGCTAGCCTGCTATCTGTGGGCAGTGAAGCTAATTCCATTTCAACAGAATGGACTTCCATCCTTATGCATCTGCATGGAGTTGCCCACACTGGCCTCTTCAATGGTGTAAAAGGAATACAGTCTGGGACCTGTCAGGCTAAAGATGGCTGATGGGTTTATTATTGTTCCAGGTTCCCTCCTCTTTAACTGGGTGACGATAATTCTACTCTTCATCTAGCAGAGTTCACATTGTCAGGCAGTTGTTAATGGACTAACCTTTGCTCCTTAAAATGCTGTAGAAACCCTGCTGAATATCAGTACTTTCTCTCTGGAAACCAGTTACTTGATCCTGTTCCCACTCAAAGAAACAGAAATTTTCATTTAGTTAATAGGAGCATC